CTCACTCTCACTCTCACTCTCACTCTCACTGTCTCTCTCTCTCTCTCATCTCTCTCATATCTCTCTCATCTCTCTCTCATCTCTCTCTCATCTCTCTCATCTCTCCCTCATCTCTTTCTCATCTCTCTCTCATCTCTCTCTCCTCTCTCTCTCTCTCCTCTCTGTCTCTCGTCTTTCCGTCTCTCTTCTCTCTCTTCTCTCTCAGGAGGATCCGGGCAAAAAAGAGCGCTGTGTTTTTTCCTACCTCGCTGCCCTCCACTTTCCCATTCTGGAGCGCTAGCTTTCGCCCCCCCCCTTGGCCTCAAGTTCTTTCGCAAGTTTTTCCCGGTGCTTACAGGTGAGTGTCGCCGCTAGGATAAAACAATCGTAGCCTTTTTTGGCTTCAAGCCCCTGCTTTAGTACTGTACCCAAAAAGGTGCGACCGGCAACGCGTAGATCGACATCATGCAACGAGCGGTTGGACAAAATGTGAGTCAAGACAAAGCATTGCTCAACCGCAGCATCACGCACATCTGGTACAATGCGATCGCAGAGCAGATCCGTAGTTACTTTGGCTTGGTGATGCTAGCGAAAATCTGCCGATTAAAGGCAGTGGTTCAAAGCAGCCAGCCCATTGCAAGTGGATAATATGGGCGTGTCTTGCCCCGGAATCGTGGAGCCATCTGTGACGAGCGTGTATTTTGTGGAACAGAAGGTTACAAGCGCAGAGGACATCCGAAGCAGTTATTGCCGCAGCATGCGGCGACAGGATCTGATGATACAAGACTCTAACAACAATCATGAACGTCCAACCATCTCCGTCCTAAACCAAATCGCAAACTTGAACCGACACTCCCAATTGGTGCATGCGATGCTGGCTGCCCTGCAGGACACACGTGGAGCTTTTACCTCCTTGTTTCTCCAGGTGATGATGAGCAAGTAGGAATCTTGGATTTTGTTCTACATGGTTGTGTTCGCGGCGATGGACGCAATTTCAGAGAGCGAGGACGAATGGTGAGATAGTTTATGTCTCGCTTTTGAACAAGCATCTGGCGCGTTACATTTTTCAAAAGCATTACACTCTACGTTCCGCGCCACTGGCTCTGCTGTGGTAGCTTCGATTGCGCCAAGTGATTCACCTTCGCAGCATTCATTGTGCGCACTACATTATAAGCAAACATGGTCAAGGAGTGTTTAGACAGATCTTTCCCATGCTTCTTCCTTCCGCTTTAGTCCTTTGCGGCCGTGCGCTTAGCCATGGACGCGGCGTGGAGCTCGCCGGCGCTTTCAATGCCTGCGCAAGCCCTTTTCATTCGCGATCCGTGGTGCGATGAGACCTTACATGGGACCAAGCGCTGGGAACTGTGCAAGCAACGCACCACCAAGCGAGGACGCATCGCCATTGCACAACGACTTATCCATAGACGACTGGGCTAGTGTGTTCATTGCGTGATGACGACTCCGCTTGCAAGCTGCTACGTGTGATTGCAATTCCCAAAGAAAGTTTCTTCGCAAAGCAAAGGCCACCAGCCCCGTTTTTTGGATTTCTCTTTTGTAAAAAACGTTTGCTCCATAACTTGTCTTCAAATGAAGGCTGCAAAGACAACGGAAAGAAGGAAAAAAGAGAAGGAAGAAGGAGGACAAGGGGAGAAAGCCGGCGCTTTATCCATACCTAAATAAATAGGCGGCAAAGAGAAGGGACGTGTCCATGCCTATAAAAGGAAAGCGGCAAAGAAGAAGAAACAGAAAGGAAAGAACACAGGAAAAGGCACACGTACCTGCGCCATGCATAAATAGTGAAGGCCGCAAAGGAGAAGAAAAGAACGGGAAGAACGCAGGTGCCTTATCACGCCTATTTAGTGAAGGCCGCAAAGAAGAAGGGAAGAAAGGAAACAACACAGGTACCTTATCCGAGCCCAAACAGTGAAGGCCGCAAAGAAGAAGGAAAGAAGGGAAAGGACGCAGCTACCTTATCCATGCCTGAGTAATGAAGGCCGCAGAGAAAAAGAGAAAGGAAAGAAAGGTACCTTATCCAGGTACCGCAGAATGAAGGTCACAAAGAAGAAGACAAGAAAGGAAAGAAAGCAGGAAGGAATTGCCTTGCATTGATACTGTAGGCCGCAAAGAACAAGAAAAGAAAGGAAAGAACACAGGTACCTTATCCATGCCTAAATAAGGAAGGCCACAGAGAAGAAGAAAAGAAGGAAACAAACACAGGTACCTTATCCATGCCGGCCGTAAAGAAGAACAAGAACACAGGTACCTGATGCATGCCGAAAAGATGACGCGAGGAA